ATGAGGGGCACGAGGATGGATGAGAGCACGCATGGGGAGACAGCGAATGCAGATAGGCAGTATGATAACATGGCAATGGCATGAGGATGGCGCAAAAGCAATACAGACAGCAAAGACAGCGATCCCCTCTCCCCTTCCGCATCATCGTGTAGCTGTAAGACTTCAAGCCCACGGACGGCGTCGCTTTGAGCACGAGGTCGCCGCAGCTGGAGCCAGCACCTGATACCATCTCGGCGGCCACCTTCGAATACATGTCCATGAGCTTGCTCATCAGAGCTGTAGTGACCTGGCCCCCCCCCACCATCCCCCCCCTCATCCTCCATCTCCTCCTTCTCCTCCTTGTCAGTCCTCACACTCCTCTTCTTCCTTCCCCCTCTTCCCCCTCCACCCCCCCATCCTCGCATGCGAGAGGGCCAACGCGAAAAGGGCAAGGGCGAGGCCAGGGGTAGAAAGGGCGAGAGGAGGGAGGAGGCGAAGGAGGGGGTCGACAGGATGAGGGGAGGAGGAGGTGCAGAAACGTTAATAAAGAACACATGTTGGACATTGCTGGAAACGGCGAAGATGAGACTGATGATGGAAAACACCAGGACACCACGCATAATAGGCCAGAGCAGGGGCGAAAGCAAGAAGCGGTTCAGTCCCCTTTGGGGAGGGCCACGTGGGCGGGAGCACGCGGCGCTGTGTGAGACCCCCACTCCACTGTGCACGCCGCCCTGACTTATTCCTCCAACTCCTCGCATAGCCCTCCAAATCGTTATATTCCTTATCCTCATTTCCCTCGCCTGCCCCCCCCCCACCCCTCCTCTACGCGCGCGCTCGCGCCCCCCGTCGCGCGCCCCCTGGGAACGCCCCCCTTGCCCTCTACTCCGTTCTTCGCGTGTCCACCTTCATCCTCGCCCGCCTCATCACCCACTAATTCCCCCAGGCCCCCAAGCAATGCAGCAAAGCAACATCGGCATGAGCCGCGATGCAAGTTCTCCACATACTCGAATCACCCCTCGAGCTCAGGCGGCCTGCTTCTTAACAAAGGCTGGCAGCTCCACCCCCTGCTCCTCGCCGTCGTCGTCGCTCTCCTGGGGTGCAACATCCTTCTGCTCCTGCTTGGTAATCATGCACGTCCACTGCTGCAAGTTAAAGAAGCGCGGCGCCCTGGGATCTGTCTTCCCCTGCTTCCTGTTGGCCACGGTGCCGCCCTGCTGCGGCGCGACCTGCTGCCCCCCCCCCCCCCCCCCCCCCCCCCCCCCCCCCCCCCCCCCCCCCCCCCCACCCACCCCACACCCCCCCCCCCCCCCAGACTCCCCTATCCGACGACGTGCCCCAATCATCCGCGACATCCTCGTCCGTTATTCCCTTGCACTTATGCTCGGCGATGTCTCTTGTATATTTCCTCCCACTTACTCACTTCCAATCGTATTACCAGTCCTGATCAGGCTCCCACTCTTGCGCTGCAAATTCCTACTGATACGTCCACCTTCCTCCTACCAGCCCAGGAACCTGTCTAGGGCCCAGGCGGCCAAGTCCCCATCCATCCAAGCGGGGCAGGGGTTGGGCAGGCGCTACCCGCACTCGCCGCTGGTGCTCGCGGAGATGCAGCAGAGAGAGGAGGAGACAGGGGAAGGTGGTGGGATGCGCGGGCGATGGCGAGGGCACTCCCCATCAATCCCCACATCTGCCCTCCGCCTCACCCGTCGATTACTTACACCCAGGATGTTGCATGACCGCAACCTTTACCACGCTCCTGCATATGATCGCCAGACCCAACCACACACACACACACACACACACACACACACACACACACACACACACACACACACACACACACACACACACACACACACACACACACACACGTACACACACACACACACACACACTTTTACAGTTATCCCGCGATTTGTGTCTCATTCTGTTCCTGCTTCCAGCCCCCTCTCTACCCGAGCTCAGGGGATCACTGGGGCCGCCATTCCACCCCCCCACCCCCGCAGGAGGGGCGCGTCTCCAAATCACGATGGCGCACTGGACGCTGGTGCTCGCCAAGGCGCCAAGGGAACGGGGGGGGGGGGGGCGAAGCTTAGAGCGACGGATGGGATGCGCCAAGGAATGAGCGAGAGCGCGCAAGAACCCTAAGCCCCTGAGCTGGCCCATCAGCGCCTGCCAATCCATCGAAACTAACTCCGCCCGTCAAGCCCCCACCCACCCTGCCCCCAAAAGCGTCCCCCACCCAAATCATTTACAGAACTCATATTCTAACCCAAACCATCTCCCACGCCCCCAGGGGCCCAGCCTGTCTCGGGTACCGCTCTTCGATCGTGAAAGAGACCTTTTCCCATGGATTCGCGTTGAACTCTGAGATGTCCTTGGCATCCCTCCTGGCATCCTTCCACTTGGCCACGGCGTCCGCTATCATCTTGCTCTTGGCATCCCTGAAGAGCGATTGCTGGGCCGTAAACTTGAAGGACGCACTGTGAATGCCGATCCTCTTCAGCACCTAACGACCCCTACCCCATTTAACGCTCATGGTATGCCTTGTCCCCGCTGCGTATGCCTTACGTGCACGTCGGCTCCTCTCTCTGCCCCCCTGCCAGCGCCCCTGCATGCATGACTGCATGCACATCAGCCAATTATCCCCCCCCCCCCCTCGCGCGATCGAATCATTCCTCTTCGTCGATGCTTGCAAGCGGCTGCGCCGTCGGACAATGCTACTGACCGAAGCGTGCGCCAACGCGCAGGCGCAAGCAAACGTGCGCATTAGACAACCAATCATATTACACGCAACGCACAGCACGCTTTCAGTCATCTAGGCGACCTCTCATCTGTCCATGCGTAGGTGCGTGCACGCACAAAAGGCTGCGCATGGAGATCGTATGCACGCATAAAAGCCCGACGCCTTATCGCACGTGGACCACGATCGCTCCATGATGCACGATCGGAGGAAATTGGCCTCCAATGCGAATAAGCACCACACAGCCGAGATTCACAACGTGCGGCATATCAAACCAGTGCCCCTGTAGTTACTTGCATGCATCCCCTCTCTCCCATTTCCCCCCCTCCCCGCCGCGTTGAGCTGCTCTTCGCCGTGGGCAGTGTCGAGCGACATCTGCAGCGCCTGCAACTCCACGGTATAATTTGCCCAAGGCACCGCCTCGGCCTTCTTCTGGTATTCCCCTGCGATGGAGAAGATGATGTCGATGATCTCGCCCATGTTCTTCGAATTGGGCGGCTCCTGACGGGGGGGGTGGCGGGCGCCCCATCCAACTGATCCATTGGGTCCTCTCCCTCTCTAGCCCCCCACCTCCCTCCCTTTCGAACTGCCCACGTTCCCCCCTCCCCCCTCAATCGTTTTCCCTGCGGCTGACATTACTTGAACCCTCCCTTTCTCACATCCCCTCTCTCCCCACCTGTGCCCCCCCCCTCCCGTTGCCGCCAGCGAATCCTGCAGCGCCACCAGGGCGGTCGGCAAATCTAGCGCCTGCTTCCCTGGGCCAGGCAGCCTGATGCTCGCGGCCAAGTCCTGGAAGCACTTCGCCTGACTGGCCATTGCCAAGGACGGGCCGCGGCAGAAGGGGGGGGGACTTAGACCGTGGACGCTTCGGGGAGGTAGCGGCATGACTGCGGGAAACAACAGGGAACGAATTGAGGGATTGGGTTGAGAGCAGGGCGACGAAGCTGGAGGTTTGGAGGTGCGTTGCAAAGAGCGCAGCTGGAGAGGGGGTATACATATACGACACATGCGAAGAGCAAGGATGCTGAAACCACCATGGAAGGCAAGGCAGCGCACGTTCGGGCGCAGTGCCAAAATAACAGCCGATCGCCTCAAGTGGAGTCACATGCCGACCAGCGAGCGGAGCCGACGCATCGCTCGAGGGCTGAATCACGCACGTCATCTGGCCGACTGTCGTGATCATGTGCCCGAAGAACTTCAAACGAGCCGCACACAACCTGGTCTGGCTCATACCTTCAGAGCGCAGCACGTTCCACGGGGGGCAGGCTAAGTGCGCCTCGAACCCAGAACTCACCAATCTGTCAATGGTATCGCACACGTTGCCGAAAGCATCTGGATACATCTGGGCCACGCTGCCCTTTGCTATATCGAGAAAGGTGCCGCGGGCAGCCTGGAGCGACGGAAACCCGCCTCCACCAACACCAGGGGTAATCGAAGACGGTTGAGTATCGCTATTGCCAGTATCAGTGGACACATGAATGTTCAGCATCTTGGTCATGATGTCCTGCAAGGCGCGGTTAGTCACGACGGCGGCCTCAGGGTCGGCCTCCCCGCACGTTCAAGGTAAGCCGCGGAGGGTGGCGACCCAGATAGACAGAAGGCAATGACGGCACCGATGCTCGCTCGCGAAACAACCATGAACTAAGATAACGCAATGCACAACAATGGAACACATAGGGTCAGGGTCCAACGATAAACACGGCACCCCCTGCACGCGTCAAAACAGTTTAGAAGCACCGCGCACGAACGATGATTCAACCCCCCCACCCCACCGAAACGGGATAGCTGAAGAAGCCAGTCTTCTGCGCCGCCGTCAGAAGGGCACACGCGTCGGAAGCGGTCATCGTCAACAATTCGGCCGCCTCCTGCTCTGACATCTTTGGGCCGTCCTCGATGACAGCCTTCTGGGCCTCGACACCAGCGTCACCCAACGTGTCCAGCTTGAGAAGCGCAATCGAGTCGGGGTCGCTGGCCCTCTGCAGAAGAGGCAGAAGGGGGCGGGTCGGGCCAGCGCGGAGGTGGGATTCTAAACGGCAGGAGACCTGTATCAGACAGAGAGCGGCCCTGTTCAATATGCAGGACTGCGAACGCTCCACAATGCAAGACTATGAAGGATGGGCCGTGCTGGCCTGCGCAAGGCTACGACTGCATCACAACGCAACGCCTGGCACGACAGGTGGAATCAGAAGACCAAGCTGAGGAGAGAGCAAGATAGCTGGACATGGATGCGCAGGGAAGCCTTGGCTTCAGCTGCTTCCTCTGCGCGTATAGCCACTCTTTGAAAAAGATCTTCAGCGCCGACCACCCCTTGCACACCTTCGGCTCTGCCCCCGCCTTGGCATGCAAGGAGATGCTCGGACGCCTCGCGGCCCCGCCCAAGCCAGGCATGGAAACCAAACGTAGAACCACAAATAGGGCGTGCATCGGAGGGGGAGCACTTCAAGCATTACTTCGCTTATGTTGACACTGCTGGCATGCGACACTGGCGACGTTTCTAATAGCGGGGAGGAGCAGAACGACAGGGGGACGGGGCGCAAACAACGGCTAACACGCAGAGGGGACGAGAACGATGAGGATGGGAGAGCATGTGAGAAGGGCCAGACACCACCCCCACCTCCCCCGCTTCTCATCCTATTCCCTTTTACCCAACACATCTGGAAACTGACATGTGCCCATGTTGCTATTGCTACCCTCGCCCGTGCACCCTGATACAGCCATGTAGTGCGCGATGTTGATAAACGCTGCAATCACCTCTGGATGTTTATTGTTGACCTTCTCCATGTATTCTGCTGCCGCCTTCACATGGCTAATGAAGTTTGACTTGGTCCCTGCGTGGTCGTCCTCGATGAGCGCCAATGGCACCATTGCAGTCTGGCCCTTTACAACTGTCGGAGGCTTCGATTTCGTTTTGCTCGCAGCAGTACCCTTCTTGACGCTATCTTTGGCTTTCTTCTCTGCCTTCGCCCTGGCCTTGCGCACTTTTTTGCAGAGGGCCCAAAAAAACAAAGCAAATAAACAAAGTTAAAAAAATATCAAAAAAAACGAAAAAAAAAATTTAAACAAAAAATAAAGAAAAGAAGAAAGTAAAACATAAAAAAAACAATATAAAAAAAATATATAACCAAAATCAAAAAACGAAAAGCGCAAAGAACAAGAGAATGCAACGAACAAACACAAGAACACACACAAAAGTAACAAATGAAGGAAAAAACCTGGGGGCTTTTGTGCACAAAAAAAAAAAGTCAGTCGCTTGCGAGCTTGATCTTGCTTTGCCTTCGCCTTGTCAGCGTTCCCCGAGTTCTCTACGAAATCTTGCAAGACGGCCCGCAAGTCAGAGTCATTCACGGAGCGGAGGACGGGCAAGCCATCTGGCAGCGGATTTGCAAATACAACATATAATACCATGGCGCATTGCATGCAACAGTCACGGCATTCCTAGGCGCGGCTATTCTCGGACGGTCGGACGCACAAGCAAGCAGCAAAGGGTTATGGACATAAATTCGAAGAGCAGACGCCTAGGATGGAACCCTTGATCCTCTCACAACGCATCCGTATAAGCGCATAACTTCTAGCCGAGCGCTCCGCCTTCCCCGGATCCCAACCCCGCATCCTTGCCGCATCTTTCCTCCGAGCCCACCCTCCACCCCCCCCCCCCCCCACGCAATCGCCAAAGCGAGTCCTGGCAATAGCGGGCACGTCCCCCATGGCTTGTCCAGGCGCGGGAACGCCAGCAAGCAGATCGGCATGATGAAGTCGGGAGCCGCGTGCTTGAAGATCTGCCAGGACGGGGGCGGGGAGAGGCGGGGGAGGGGGGGGGGCGCGGCGCCCGCCATCCGATGCAACTCTTATGTTTAGCCTTCAGCCCGACTGAAGGATATACATAAATACATAGGGAGTGGCGCCGATTGGACGCGGGGGGGGGGCGGAGGGTAACAACAGTAGATGATTGGATAGGGTCGCAAGTAAAGGGGATGCATGAGGAAATTCTGAACTACGTTGCAACGGCGCATGAGCATGCACTTGTGATGCAGTCGACGCGAACATTTAGAGATTAGAAGTTGCCATAACATACATATAACAGGTTGCGCTGGCCAACCACCTTAAGCACACTGAAGGACACCCCCGTTTGAACGCCGTTGCAAGTTGCAAGTGATGCACCGTGCCGATGCACCCAGGGAGTGAACCGTTGGTGCAGGAATTAGCTGGTCATGTGTTACTTGCGCGGTAAAATAAACGAATGGGGTTATGGGGGTGAGAGGCAACGCTGAGCAGTCCATATGAGGAGTGCCCGAATCGAAGTAGCGGGCTGAAAGTAGGAACTGCCGAGGAATATGTGCAAAAAGGGTAACCTGGATGTGTCGTGGGGAGGGGGGGGGGGCACTGGGGGTCGAATGCAGTCTGCGCTATATTTGCCAATGTCTATGTCTGGCGAGGCCCACCTTGTTACAAGCCCCACCTGACCCCTTGAAATACGTTCGCTACCCCCTGCCGTCATCTACCCCCAGCACCCGCATGGTAGAGCCCAATATCTTGAGCACCTGGTCGTGCGTCCTGCCGTCCATCGCGGGGAAGTCGACGAACTCTTGCGTTATGCTAACCAATCTGTCCCAGAATGTTTCGTTATCGCCCACCATGAGATTCGCAGCGTCACTGCGAAAGGCTGAGGCCACTTGGTAGGCGTTCTTGTCCCTGAACCAGCCAGGTTTGATCGCCCCCCCTCCCCGTCGAGATAGAAGGTATTTGATCAGGAGGCGTGAGAAGGCGTGCACCGTGCGCACCTGAGAGATGGCAATGCGCGGCTGCGTGTGAATCATATTGCCAAGAAGACAGTGGACGTTGAGGTCGATGTAGTTAGGCAGCGCGTGCACAGAAGGTGCGGAGGGATGCCCATGGGGAGCAGGTGCTAGGAGTGAGGGAGGGGGAAGGAGAGGGCGACTGATGAAGGGTAGGGAGAACGCAGACGGCAATGCATAGGAGAGCTGTCGACGACCAACTAAGCTGAACAATAATGACACAGCCGCGATAGGCAGCCCCAGATACCCCCTTTTAATCCGACCCTGGGCTATCACTGTCGCCATGATTGCACATGGCCCTCTGCCTGCAAGTCCACCCCGCCCCACCTCTACATACTCAAAGCGTTTGGTATTGTACACGCTCTGGCCGAGCCCAGCCCATGTCCAATTGTTCTGTTTTGCCAGCGTCTTCCAGCCAGCCTCGATGATGTCCACGGCCCTTATTTTTTCGATGATCGCCCGGATTGTCGTCACCTCGTTTGTCTCGTTTCCGAGTTCTTTCAGAAACATGATGCACCCGCGCGTGATGGCCCGCCTGTAGCACTTGCAGTGTGCCCACCCTCGCGCGATACTCCTGCCCTATCCATTCTTGGTTCGTGCACCCTCGCGCGCACGCCCTGGCTCACATAATTGGCATGCACGGAGCACAGTGTACCAACGCGGGTTCCATGTCATGCATGTCTGAATGAAATGTGGGAAGAGCTTAAGCGAGGGTCTCATTTCGGTGCGAAGCAAGAACACGTCTAGATGGGGGTCCCATGCCTGAGTGATATCGGACGAGGTCGCAAGCGGGAGCCCCCACCTCCTCAATGGAGCCGCAGCCCCTGGACGAATTACATATAAGAATAGTTTGCGGTCTCAGGCTTGCCATAGAGGATGTCCCAAGCGAGCGCTGCTATGCACCGCTCCTCTAGCCTTGTCCAGATTCCTTGCACATGTCCACTGATCAGTGCTCACGCCCTACACGCCCCCCCGCCGAGTCCTTTGAACGCTGATGTTCTTCTTCTCTGTGTCCTTGAGCCAAGCCCGCTCCACGCCCTGCGCGAGCGTGGCCCCGTGCACAGCTTGCCAAAAGTCCTGCCCCACACAGGACAACGCTCGAAGGGCGTGGGCCAAGAAACGAACCTGGAACAACGAACATCGAGGATGGAGTGGATTGCAGAGGGCGCAGGCACGGCGCAGCTAGACAGACATGCTGAAGGGCAGCATGACTCACATTGAGATCACAATACACTTGGAGGGACAATCCTAAATATAGGTGTGCGTGCGACGTGCGTCCATGCGCGTCAATGCCGACGCTGCTTCGCGTGTTACAACATAGTTGGTGCGTAAAGTTAATCCTGGCAAGCATGCAACACCCTGACGCCACCCCCCAAACAACCCTCCTCCTTCATCGGGTCTTCGTGTTGAACCAGGTGCGCGCCGCCCTTGTTCTCGTACAGGAGACCAACTGTTTCCACGCTTTGTTGCCGCTTGCGTATGGACGCTTCGTCCCCGCGGTCGTTGAAGGGGTGCCGAGACTCCCGCCCAGCACTTCCAAGGCAAGAGCTCGCTCGATCGACTCGCCATACCACCCTAGATCACCCCTTCCCTTGGCTCCTCCACGCCGCACTCCCGTCCTCTCCCCCTGTGCACGCCCATGGGAGTGTCCTGATGTGGCGACAAGTGGTTGCACGCGGTCTCTTCCCTCGCCCTATCAGCCTGGGCGCCCCCGCACCCCACTGCGGCAACCAGTCCGTGCGAGCCCAGCCCATCTCAACTGGCTGCCGCATGTCCTTACATGTCCCCCACACCACCACCCCATCCATACCTCAAGCAACCATATGTGCGCATCATCAATTACACGTGCGCGGTCTGCATGAGCAATTGTTTAAGACCGAACGCTGACGCGTCGTGCACTCGTGGCGCCATAGGCTAGCAGAGACCACTGATGTCGCGGGCAGAGCACATCGCGACGGCTGCCCCCCCCCCCCCGCAATTGTGAATTGTCCATCCACGACTAGCTTCACCAGCTTGTCTGGACTCAGGAGGAATTCGTCATCCACCAGCGCCAGGTACTCAAGCGGAGCTTTGCCAGGACCGTAGCGGTCCTCGAGCTGTGCGGGACGTCGCGCGCTCCCATCGCGTTCGCGCGCGCATGCATGTCGTCGTGCGCGCGCGCGCCATGCTCACATATACACACACGCGTGATATGCAACGATCGATCTCCAACACGCGCGCACAATTGAAATGTTCACGTCGTGCATCCCAACTTCGGTCGCGCAGTTGCGCGGCGCCTGACCGCGCGCGCGATGTAAATATCGCCACGGAAAAAATACACTGCGTCACCAAATAACAAGCACGCAACACAACACCACATCGTACAAACACAAAAATAAAAACGCCCGTGCGATGAAGAAATGATGCCAAACCTAGCGATCCCATCGACAATCGTCGATGGGCATGCCTGGGGGGGGACCCATCGACGTACGTCGATGGGATCGCCAGGTTCTGAGGGCCCCATCGACAAACATCGATGAGTCCAGCCCGCCTCATCGACCAACGTCGATGGGCATATCCTGTGTATGGGGTTGAAGTACAAGAGTACAGAACCCCTGATCCGTTGGTAGAGAGATGGAGGGATAGATGGGTATCTTTCCCTCCCAAGCGATCAAGGTACGATCGCTCCAACTCAGTACCTGAGCCCAAACGGCCAGGTGCGGGAGAGGTAAGGATAAGGAGTATATATGAGGGTATTACACGGGTTCCATACACACCCCCCGTCCCGAATCCCGCCCGTGAAGGCAGGACTCGGGATCAGGAGGATGGAATCCGTAACCTCAGAACTCCTTTACCTTAAGTCTGAAAGGCAGCTGGGCTAAAAGTCAGCGAAGCCACAGCTGCAAAGTGAGGTAAGAAGAGATACCTTGGGTCTCTTTTTCTTCTCCAGGCGGTCTTTGCCGCCCCCTCGGTGCGCCCCCCAAAACGCTTCGGCACTCGAGGGAGGAGAAGAATGAGACAAAGGTAGGCGGAGAAAGAAGATCTGAGCAGCAAGGCAACGTAAACCGCCTCGCAAGATTTGCGAGGCAGGTGTTGCCACCAGCTATCAGATTATTCTCGACGCAATATTGTTAAATTGTTAAAATATGCATGCTAAGATCGCGTTGACGAACACAATCTTGAAAT